AGTGACCAGAAGTTCGATTTCTGGTGTGGGAACGATGTACGGAAGCCTTCTCCGGCAGCTTGCTTGGGTAGAACCCACAGAAGATGCGGGAGGGTGGAAAAATTGCTGTGGCCGCTCTCATGGACAGAGAACCGATGCCGGTATTCTGTTATTTGAGGTCGGATGGGTGATGTGAAAATAACCAACTTCGCTTACCGTATGCCTCGGAAGTTGGGCCAAATTCAAGTGAGCAGGATCCCATCATGCAGGCTCACATCACAATATCCCATATCATAGAATTACGATCACAGGCGGCTGATGAGGATGGACGTGAGATAGAGACAGCTTCGCGAGTGTCCAGGCAGCCAGGTGACGGAAAGAACTCATTGAGTCATTCTCATAATGAGGCTTCGCGGGGGCTGGGACATTGTGAGATGAAGTCCAGAGCAGCTTCCAAGTGGTCCAGACGCGTGTGGAAGCAACAAGAAGTTCGGATTCTGCCAAACGTCCTATGTACGCCGTGGAAGCGTACTGGTAAAGAGGAGGCCCGAGGCCAGCACGCAGAGCCTGAGGAAGCGCAGCCCTTACAGAACTTCGCCTTGACCCGGGTAAGGGCCGAGACGGCCTCAGAGAAACATATTGTACAGAGAAGCCAACAGGGGACTTCTATCTCAGGCTGTCGCCACTGCCGTCAAGCGAGTTGGTGTACCGTGTGAGCAGAAAGACTCGATGTAAGCATGACCGAGAGCCAGCCGCAATCGCAAACATGCCTCGTCGACAGAACGACAGAGGACAGGCCGGTGCACCCACCAGCTCCAAGCCAGAGCCCTGCAAGTCAACGGACGATCCGAGACGTGAGAGAGTTTACGTACGCTGATAACACGAGGCCAACGGCGATCAAGATAAGACATCAAAATCAATGTGGCCGCCGTACGCCCACATTCCGATCGGCAGCTTCTGGAGCCAAACATGGCCGATTCACCAAAGGTGAGCCGGTCCTGTGCGAGAGAAGACCTTGCAGAGGATCGGTTTGGTGTGGCCTGGAGCGGATACTTTCATATTGGATGGGAAAACGGTCTGGACGTCGGTCCAGTACGGTCTGCGGGCTTCCGCGGCAGCGATTCGTGCACGGTGGATGAACCGTTCGACCTACCTTGTCCCACACGAACCGCTCCCACGGCCGGCGACGGCGGTCGGTCAATAGGGTCTGCACCGGTGAGCCCCATTCTTTCTGTGAAATATTCATGTATTCCTTTTCTCCCTTGCCCCCGCTCATCTTGAGAGACTTCTTGTCTCCAGATGCACAAAAGCTTCGCCTCCCGTCCTCCCCCTCCCCACAATCCCCCCCCTCCCCCTCCCTGCGAACCTTCAACACGCCTTCCTGCTGGACTTGCTCTTTTCACCGGACCTTCGTTTTCTTGACTACTCAAGTGCGACTCACCTCGACCATGAACTCTAGAACGCGCAAGCTTGGTCAGACCAAATAAGAGATAAGTACACCATGATCAATGAGCCGTGCGTGAATTGACCCACCAGTTGTGCAGGAGCAAAACGTCAAGAGCCGTTCATCAACATCAACGCGTCCAAGGCACGTTGACCGCCGCCGTCTGTGATGGCAAAGTCACGCGTGCGCGTCGAACATCCTTCTCGCACGTTCGTGGTACGCGTTCCCGCTTTCGCCTGTCATCGCGCGTCACCTCGGGCCCTCATCTTCCGTTTGGACAATTTCCAAGCCGCAAGAGTCGACGCACTTCGCGTTCCGACCGTCTTCCTCCATGTTAGGCTCAAGCGCGCGCTGCCATCAAACTAACGTGAGCGCGTTCCAGATCAGACGCGTCGGATTG